AATTCCATTGAGCTCCACCCCCTAATAACTACGGCTTTAAATGCTGATTTTGACGGTGATCAAATAGCCATTTATTTACCGATAACAAGTAAAGCATGCGAAGAGGTTAAGGAGCGGATTCTCTCCCCCCATCATATTATTGATCCCAAAAATGGTTACTTAATAGACATTCCTAGTCAAGACATGATTTTGGGTCTTTATTATTTAACCAAGGAGATTAAGAGCAAAAAAGTAATTTTTTACAATGAAATAGGAAATATTTGAAAGAGTCAGGAAAGAGGAATAATAACTCTTCACGACCTGGTTGTTATTCCCGCTACTCTGGTTGGCCGCAATTTTTCAACTGCTCAGAACCAATTTCTTTTTACTACCTTAGGAAAATTAATCTTCAATCAAATCTTGCCGGCTAGTTTTCCTTACTATGTTAATAACTTAAAAGAATATAATGCGGAAGGAAGTAAAAAAAATAGTGAGTTGATCGAGATGGAAAAAATAAGAAAAAAATGGAATGATTATCAACCAGCGGAAACGTGAAAAAAAAAAGACATTATTGTTTTTCTTAATAAATTATTTTTTCTCAAATTTCACTTGGCAAATAAGTAAGCAAATATTCTTCTAAATTATCACTCGCTCCCTTTAAGTTTATTTTTAAGCTATATAACAACTGAAAATAATTAGATAACGAGGAAAGGGGAAGTGATTTTAACTTTAATTTACTAAGCAAATCGGGAGTAATATTTTTGTTATTCTCCAAATAAATTAAAATACCGAAAGGAGCCTGATAAAAAGCTCGGGAAGAACAATTTTCCCCGCCACTGTTTTTAATTTTTTCTCAAATCTGATAAACTTTTTCTTTGGGAAACTTATTTTCGCGAGCAATGCTTAAAGATTTTTCGTTAACTTCGTGCTCTTCTCTGATAATATTTTCAATTTTTCTTCGCACTTTCAGAAAAAGTTGACTACGAGCACTATCTTGCCTATCTTTCCGATGCTTAATATTTGCGGAATGAGAATGACCTGCCATGGGGAGAAAATAAAAGAAAGATTAACGTTTGGAGAATTGAGTTTTTTTGCGAGCCTTTTTGAAACCAACTTTTTTTCTTTCTACTCGGCGAGCATCCCGCGTTAGTAGCGAAAAACTTTTCAGAGTTATTTTATATTCGGGGGAAATTTTTAATAAAGCTCGTGCCACCCCTAACCTAATGGCTTTGGCTTGACTATGAAAACCGCTGCCTTTTACTCGGACAAAAAAATCATAAGCATTTTCCTTGCTGAATAATTTAAGCGGTTGATAAATATCTTCACATAAAGAAGGTTCCATATAAAAATAATCTTTTAAATCTTTTTCTTTTCCACATTTAAATGAAAAATCAAAGAAAATGAATATTATTTAATTGTCTTACAAAATCCAGAAAAATCTTAGGTTTCAGACATTTTATAT